CAGAGTAGGGGTTTCTCTTCTTTCATTTTACTGGCTGGGTCTCACAGTCGTGTAGTTCCTGTCAAAGCCTTTTAATAAGATAATACACTGCAGTTCTGTCTCCAAAATGCCCGTTGCGCTTGATGTCGTGCATACAGGGGGGGAGAGGGCAGCTTCCAGCTGGGGCAGGGGGAGGGCTCTTGCTGTTGTCTGTGTGCTACTGTACATCTCTTGTGTGCATTACAAAAGATGGCATTATGATATCTCATCGTATTTAAAGCAAATTGAATAAATCAGCTTATTATCTTGCTGCAGCCCTGTCAGAAATTATTTTTAGCAGCGAGACAGAAGATAGGTTCCTTTGTTTTACAAAGTTTCGCTTCAAAATACTCATTTATTTCACTGCAGTAGTCCTGTATTTCACAAGTAGTCGTGCTCGTGAGTACTGTCACTACAAATTGAGGGAATTTGCAAAGGAAGGCTGCCACAAACCAGCTCCAAATGAAACTAACGTTGCCATTGCTTTCTAAGTTTGGCTCAGCATGCAGCCCATAAAAGGTAAAAGGTAAGGTGTGGGGAGGCCAAAAAGACACCGGGGAATACAGGCTGTGTGTCTGCATTTCTCTGCCTGCCAGAGACATGAAATCCTGCTGTGGAAATGAGGGTGAAGTGGGATTTTTTCAAGTTTGCAGAACTGATTGGAATACCAGAAATAACTTAATACAATCAGTGCAGCACTCTTGACTCCCTCCCTGAGACCCATGGTGAAAGAACAAAGAAATTTATAAAAATTAACTAATCACTTCTGTAATGGATGCTTTTGTAATCTAAGGTTTATTTCCCTGTGATTGATGGTCAGTATTCCTCTGTAAGGAAATTCAGGGAAGAGAGGGAAGGGGAAAGAGCCAGAGATCTATTTTTACTCAGTAGTGTGCTGTTGTCCTGATTTCTCTGGCGGTAATGAGGACAGCACGGGCTGGTAGGAAAATCACCTCCTCCAAAAGCAGTCCTACACAATTGTATCATGCATCCGTCTTTAGGAACCGGTGTCTGATTGCAGTAATTTCGAGCACTGACTGCTTGTGAACCCAGAACACCTCGCTGAGGAGCACTGATGCTGTGCTTGTTTTAAAGCTGAGCTTCAGGGTAAATCCTTGCCATTTATCTCTAAGTGGCCCAAGCAGTGTGTATGGGTGTTTTTGCAATGCACAGGCATGCAAGATGAAGTACATCTTAGCAAGAATTTCTTTGTGACAGTGTTTGGGAAGTAGATCCACTGTGTTTCAGAATGTTTGAAGTTATTTTCCTGTGCTTTTGTTTCCATTTTTCATTCTGATTAGAAAGATGAGAAGTTGATTAAAATATTAATTAAACATTCTGTATTATGACTCCTATCTTCCTAGTCAGTTGAGGGATTGTTTTGGTTTTATTTTGGAATACAGTCACTGATCAACAGTTATTTATATGCCTAAAAAAGATTTTCAAAAATAAAGGAGACAGAGTGTAGTAAATCTTTTTGAGTCTTTGAAATCTGTTTGAATTTTATCATGAATGTCAGTGGCTGAGATTGCATCCCCTAAAGTGAATTCTGAAGTTTTTTAAACTCCCTTTCATTTTAAGATTGTATATATAAAACCACAATATAAAACTCATTAAAAGAATGCTGGTTTTATTTTGCACAGTGGGATTTTTTCCGATTTATTAATTTAGTGGAAGCAATTTAAACCCAAAGCAATTTATGAACATGATTGTCCTCTGACTGAATGCTGTGTTGGTTTGGACAGCACTTTTTGCAGCTGAGATGTGACCAGAGGGAGACCTCTAATGGCAGGTCATTTGTACTTTTCATTCTGCTCAGCATCATACACAGATTTAAAACTGATGTGAGAATATGCAGGAGGAAGTCTTCTAGACAGTCCCACCAATACAATTTCAAGCTGATATTGCTGATATTCCAAGTTGAAGCCAACCTACAACTTATCTATATGGTTTTTTGGTGACTGCCTCATGTGGCAGTTACAATCTTTGGGGTACCCAAGTCTTTGACACACTTTTAATTTCTCAGTGTATTTCTACTGTTCTTTCCTATGTCATCTATTTCTGTTCTCATTACATCCCTTATATAAAATTAAATACAGTATCAGAAATGTGCTGTAGTTTGGTGGTGATCGGTGACTTCTCTGGTAAATTAATTTCTCAGCTTTTGGAATTACTACATTACTTTATATTAAAATATTTAAATAACAAGACTTTGATGAAAGCATAGTCCAGTTAAAATCTAACATCTCAGTGAGAGAATGAAAGGCTGAGATGGTATTTCAAATAATCTGCTAATACAATTTCTTCCTTTTTACTTTGGTGTATTTCCTTTTGCTATTCTATATTAATACTGTATCAGTCCATATTTCTCCACCTGCATAAAATTATATAGAAAAAATATTGGTTTTGATCTTATTGATAAAGAAAATTGATGAATTATATAATCTAAAACTTTGAAGGGAGGCTACTTTGTGAACTAGTAATTGTCAAAGAGAGCTTTTCTCTTTGGCCATGATAATCTCTTTCAGTCCACAGGCATGAAAGGTTTGCAAGGATTTATGAGTCAGAAAATGGTTATGTCTGCATTTATCAATATTTTCTAACATGTTACGTTTTATATGGGAGAAGGCTTAAACTGAAAGTTCTAGTAATTCCCACATACATACTGTGACAGGGCTAATCATACACTGTTTATCCTCAAAAGCTTCCCTTAATTCTTACTCATTTTACAGTGCTCTTAAGGTTTGAGAGATTCCTTATCTCTACTCATTATTGTTTTTAATGTGAAAGAGATAGCTTCATTTGTGGCTATGAAAGATTAATTGGTGAAGCTCAGGTGTTCTGTCTCCCTCTGATATCAGAAGGAATAACTAAGCAACTTGGAAACAGAGATGGAAACAGGATCTGGGCAGATGAAATGGATGCCCGTCAAGAGGCAGCATGGGTTAAGTTCTAGCTTATCTTCCATAGCTATCAGAATGTCAGAGCCTGTAACACTTTCCAATTTTGCTTGCAGGGATAAGCCTCTGTCGTAAAAATGTCAAAACAACCAGCATCACATGTCAAAGCCATTCAGGTAAGAGATAGCATTTATCTTTTTAATATAATAAAATAATAAATCTCAACCTCCATTGCTTGGCAGACTGCATTTTACTCAGACAAAGCAGCATAGGAGTGCTAGATGGAGTTATTCTGTTCAAGTGAAAAGCTTAGTAGATATGAAAGCACTGAAAAAGTGCGACCTGGAGATCATCTTTTGATCTGAGCTGACAAAAAAACTGGATCAGATAGGTTCGTTAATCACTTGTTTGCATGGTCTTTGCAGTGTTAGGTTATGCCTATTGGAGGATCATCTAAGCAAAACATGAAGCAAAACATGGTAATGCATCTGCATAACTGTTAGGTTAAGTAAAAATAATTCCTGCAACCATTAGATATTCCACAAAGCCAATATAATGCTGGGGGATTTATAGGCTAAAAAGATAGCATGGGTATTGTGAAGTTTTTCATGTCTGCATTCCTTAAGGAGAAAAACCCTCAGCTTCAAATAATTGTTTAAGAAGCATTTTATTTAGAAGCCAAAGGAAAATGAGAGAAATGTTGATCTTTTAATTTGAAAGATTCTTGTCTGCCACATACCTCTTCAATGGTATATGCTTACAAGGATGGAGCTGACTGTCGCATACTTGTAAAAGTATGGAGAATTATCCCAACATCATTATGAAATCATTATGAAATAACATGAAGAATGTGTTAGTTCATGTTATCAATGGTTCTTGTCAAAAGGTGAAAATATCTTCTGTATTGAAGAATCTTACAGAATTCTCATGTATTTTGCAAAATGCACTTCCAATAAAATTTTACTGCGTTCAAGTTTCCTTACCTAGGAAACACAAAATGGAATTTCTGAAGTCTTCTTTGATCTCTGTTTTCTTGAGATAATACTAATGCAATGGATTGGAGTATCAAGATTAATTACTGAGGGGTTAGGCAGCATACTGAAGATGCAAGGCACTGTGAAAATGCAGATTCTCTTTATCATCATCATCAATTCTACTGAAATAGGCATGCAAACTACTATAATTCTGTTGAAATTAGAAAAAAATGCCATTTTGCCAGCATTTTGATTTCACTCAGTTCAAATTTTCATCTCTCTTTTACAGTGACTATAGAAATATTTGTAGGATTAATGAAAAAATATAGATATTTAATAGCTGAAAAGTATTTATTTACATTTTACATTTAAACTCCATAGACACATACAAACATTTTTAAAGAATTTTTTGTTTTACATTTTTTTCTTCAAGATGTAATGATAGGCTGCATTTTATTTCTAGGATGACTTCCAACTTCTAAATGTAAACAATGCTCCTAGATTGTTAATTTAAAAAATACATTAAAT